GAGCTGAAGGCAGACGCTTAACTGACCGAGCCACCCAGGTGTCCCAAAAGGTAGACATTTCAGAACTACCAGACAAGTCAGAAGATGAGTATAAAGAAACAGCAACACTTAAACCAATAATTTTGGTGAGTCATTATAGGTGAAATCTCAGACTGAGTGTTCAGATGATATTCTAGATGAGTTTTCTCAAACTCAGAATCATTAAACAGTACTCCTAAAGATGGAAATGAATATATTACAGATTCATGCATGATAGCTTATAAACAGTGTTGCATTCAAAGGATGCTGGTTTTTTGGATATATATACCTTCAATAATAGAGAAATGTGGAATAAGAAATTTACTGTTTAATTATAAAGATAGTTCTTAAAATCATTTTTTAACTATTCCTGTATTTCTATAAATTAGTTATAAAATGGCTTAAAATATTAAAAATAGGTATTTTGGACTCAGTAAATTGGGATGGCTATTTTTTCTGGTATACTGAAAGCTCTCCTGTGGTTCCAATGTACAGCTAAGGTTGAGAACCGCTGTTCTAAGTAGACTTCATCTGGACAAATAAACAGATTAAGTAAGACTTTTTTAAAAGGTTAAGTAATGGGGATAGCCTAGAGTAGTCCTACGAGATGCATGGTACTCACATAAAAATTAGAAAACAGGTTAATAGATTTGACCGAACAGCCCAGAAGCAGGTATCAGAATATATAACACTTTAATATAAAGAAAGTGTTGTAAATCTGTAGATTAGATTAATACCATTAATAAGTGCTATCACTTATTTACTACTTGCTGAACGTTTTTGTATGCATTATCATTTAATCCGCTTCTTGACATCGCTGTTGCTATTATTATTCCCATTTACGAGGAAACCTGAGGTCACACAGTATTTGGTGAATCTGAAGCAGTTGATTAGCTCTTTTAGAATGCAAATATTTTAAAAAAATGAATTTTTACCTATGTCAATAACTTTCAGGTGGATAAAAATTAAATGTAAAGTTCATATCCTAAATATAGACAACAAATACAGGTATACCCTACCCCACTTTTTGAACTTTGCATTACACAACTCACTTTTATGAAAGACCTACATTAGTACCTGTTTTCGCTAGCTGAAAGAAACCCAAAGAACATTTTTTACTTTTATGGAAAAAGGTGAAATAAGTGAAGATAGTTGGCTGTTTTGGGGCACCTGGCTGGCTCAGTCAGTAGAGCATGCGACGCTTGATCTCGGGGTTGTGAGTTTGAGCCCTACACTGGGTGTAGAGATTACTTAAAAATATATATAAAAAAAGAAAACAGTGTTTGTTTTGCAGCGAGCCATTACAGAGGCAGTACATAACCTGGGCAAGCAAGAGTGGCACCACCGAGCTCCTTTCCTGGAACTCAGCATCTCCACCTCAAGCTGCCATAGTTTTGAACTGTGTCTTTGATAAATCATCTGTGTTTTATCTTGATTTATTTTTGTATATCTGTTAACAGGATGTGTCCTAAGGAATCAGAAAAGCCTAAAGTGGGGGGGGGGGGATTCGATCTGGGAACACTCAAAAATTTTTCCATGTAAATTAATGGGAATTGCTTTTTTGCTTTAAGCCTTTTCGGCTTACGAAAGGTTTCCTAGGAATGCTCTACTTTGAGATAGCTGAGGAAGCCTGTAGGTGTATCTGATATCTGGATAAGGAGAGCTTAGGAGTAATGGAAGAAAAATCACAAAGGAATGTATCAGTAAGTTTACTTAAGAGATAAAACTGCCCCTATGTCAAACTCCATAAAATTACCGCTTAATATACTAGGAAAAGCAAAGAAATAAAGTTTTTAGCCTTTATGTGTAAAACACTCTCATACAAATTAGTAACCCCTAAATGTACGAGCTTAGAAATACAGGTGGTTAATAAGCACATTAGAAAGTAGTAGCCTTGGGGCACCTGGGGGGCTCAGTCATTAAGCGTTTGCCTTTGGCTCAGGTCATGATCCCAGGGTCCTGGGATCGGGCCCCGCATAGGGCTCCCTGCTTGACGGGAGGCCTGCTTCTCCCTGTCCCCCTCCCCCTGCTTGTGTTCCTGCTCTCGCTGTGTCTCTCTCTGTCAAATAAATAAATAAAATCTTCAATAAATAAATAAAGTGGTGGCCTTCAGTAGGTAGCTATGCAATAAAAATTTTAATTAAACTAAAAGTACTGTATTGTTCTTTGCTGTCTTAGGGACCTTTGTCCGTAATATTAGTTCCTTTGTATGGCTGACTCCCCATCCTTTAAGACTCCATGTATAGTACCATCTCAGTGAGGCCTTTTTGAACTGCTCAGTAAATGAGTTTTTCCATGTATCTCGACACCCTGCCGATTTCTTTCATTGGACTTCACCTTTCATAATCACCTATTTGTTTACTTACCTTCTTTCTCCTTCAGTAGACTATGCTCTAAGAGGAAAAGAATGTGAATGCCATCTAAAAAGCATTCAATAAATGTTGAATAAATAAAGTAAATGAATAAAATGAGATACCGTTTTTGAAATCTTACCTTGTTACTGACATTTTTATTTTTTTTTATTTTATTAAAGATTTTATTTATTTATTAGAGAGAGAATGAGAGATAGAAAGCACGAGAAGGAAGAGGGTCAGAGGGAGAAGCAGACTCCCTGCTGAGCAGGGAGCCCGATGCGGGACTCGATCCCGGGACTCCAGGATCATGACCTGAGCCAAAGGCAGTCGCTTAACCAACTCAGCCACCCAGGCGCCCGATTACTGACATTTTTAAAGAAAAATATGTGAGACAAGATGGGATGGGTACAGTCATTGTGCTGCTTGGTAAACTGGTGTTACCTTTCAGAATGGAAATTTTGTAAAAGGTAGCAGGAGCCTTAAAATTCATGTCTTTTGACCCAGTAATTTTACTTCTTGGAAACTGCTCTAAAGAAGGCATCTCTGCCAGGAGATGCAGAAGCTTTCTTCCTAGCTCTTCGTATAGTCACTGGTATTCCTTCCTAAGAAAAGTAGACAAATTTAATTGGGCCTTGTCTTCACAGTTGTCTTCTGCTTCCTCTTTCTATGCCCTTCAGTGAGTAAGTTATGCAAAGGACTCACTCCTTGGCTTGGCTGAGTAATCTTTAATATTCTCACAAAAGTCCTTAAGAGTTCTTACTGCTTGGGGCACCTCAGTGTGCTGGTGGTGAATTTGGATTTGGGTTTTGGGGGAGGGCAGAGGCCCTGTTGAGGCCCTGAGCCAAAGTGTAGTACCCTAATCCAGTTTACCAAAGAACCTGGCTTTGGGGTATCTAGCAGTAATCCAGCTAAAAGTGGTACTTTGATTTCCCTTTTGGTAATTTCCCCCCCATTCTCCCATTCTCTGTGCTGTTCCTGCTGGACACCCAACTATCGTGCACACGCGCATGTGTGTAAGGCATTTGTGTATTCCTGGGTTTTTTAGCTCAGTGCTTTCCTTCGTCATGTCAGACACATACAGAAAATATTTTAGGACCAACAGGGATAATGGAAAGGTCTTAAGTTCTTCATGCTCATTGTTTTTCCACTATAGGTCACAATCCATTAGTGAAATCAATCAAATGGGCTGCGACTATCATTAAAATAAATGATAATAGAATAAATTATTTATAGTGAAAAAATTATATGAGTATGTATTTATAACCTTGCAGTACTTTTTATGTGGGTCACTGTCAAACTTTGAAAGCTATTTTGTTCTAGCCAAATACCAATTAATGATGCCTAAGCTTCTCTTTTGTTGCATCATTCTTAAATGGGGCAAGATTTATGAAAAGAGATTCAGGCTTAGTATATTGCAAAATTTGAAGAATGAAACATTCAAGAGACTGGCTAAATAAATCATGATGATCCGTCATTTCCGGTTAGTTGCTCAAGTTAGTATTCTCTTTCTTTTTTCTTTGTAGGTTTTGCAGTGAAGGTCCAAAGGTTAGCAACAGCTTTCTCAGTTCTTGTAGAGTCAGTGGAGCCGTAAGGTAAGGAATGTGCCATAATATACCCAGGAACAGCACCGAGGAATCAGATTGGAGCCTCAGTTCTGTGACAGCCTTGGGCATAGTGCTTAACTTTTTATCTGTTTACTCATCTATAAAATGGAGCTGATATGCATATCTGTTTAAGGTTGCCGTGAATAGAATATACCGTATTGCATTCAAAGTGCTCAGCTGGTTGCTGGACTCCCAATGAGTAGAATTACTTCCAGGCTGTTTTGCCTTGAACATTATTGAATCTCTTTCTTTGTGCCTTAGTTTCTCCTTCAGCTCACGTTTCAGCGAATATTACTAGATGCTGCTTTGGAAGATGTAAAAACTTCTCTAATTAATTCACAGGAATTTGAGAGCATTAAAATCAGAAGATAATGTGAAAAGTACTGCACAAATTTAGATGGTATTAATTCCAGTAGTAGCAGTCATAGGAAACTGTTTGCATTGTATGTGAGCTGATTAATAACTCTGTGTCCAAAGCAGTAGAATCTGCAGTTGATTTAGATGGGAATAAATAGGTACTCTCAGTTCTCTAAAAGTGCCAACCTCTTTCTGCCTTAGGACCTTTGCAGTTATTCCTTTTGTTTGAAATATACTTCTCTGTCTCCACACCTCATGTCTGTCTGTCTGGTTCCTCCTTATCAGCTGAAATCATACCACTTTAGAAAGGCCTTCTTTGACCATCCAGTCTGAATAGCTTCCCGGTTGGTTTTTTAAAAATCACTTTAACCATAACATTGATTTACAAGCTGGTTCTCAATTTTGTTTTCTGTTTCATTCCTCACCAACTAGGATGTAAACCTTAAGGAGCAGGGACCTTGCCTGTGTTACATATATTTTTTTTCTCCTGCACTTAGATCAGTGCCTAACAAAATATTTGTTGAATGTTTGAAGATAGTGTAAAGTATGAAAAATTATCCATAATTGTACTTCTCAGAGATAAATAACAATTATTGATAATTATGGTATATAGTTTTCTAATTTTATTTTCTGTGTGTGTGCTTACATATTTACAAGTGTCTGTGATTATATGTTTATACCTTTCATTGAGTCTACAGATGAATATGTTTTACTATATTTTGTGTCTATGAAATAGGGATGTCATATAATCAGGGGTATGCCATGATGTATTTGGCAGCATTTTCCATTTTCAGTGGCACATAAAATGAAGATGTGTCTTAAAATCTGTAGCATCTTAAATTTGATGAAACGCAGTATATATTTGAAACAAATGAGATCGTGTTCAGCTGTTTCCCCACCTAAATATCTTGAACATTTTCCAATATCACTGTGTTTTAGATCTATCACATTATTAACAGATATCTAGTATATTATTATGGGTGTATCATAAATTGTTCAACCAGTTCCTCTTGGTGGACATTTGGAGCTTTTCCAGTTTTGTGTGTGTGTTACGAACAGTGCTGTGTTGGATATCCTTGCACATATCTTTATGTGCTCAGGAATTTCTTTTGATAAAATCCCTAGATCAGTGAATACACATATTTTCTATAGTGTATGAGGGTGCCTGTTTCCCTATATCCCTCAGTAGTACTGCATCTTAGGAAATTTTTTAAATTTTTATTAATCTGAAAGTGAAAAAATACCCTTAGTGTTGTATCATCATTTCTTTAATTATGCATGAGATTGAGCCTCTTTTCGTGTTTATGAGCTGTTTTTATTTCCTCTTCTGTGATGCGCTGTGAATAGGACAATAAACCTTTAATTGGCTGGCACATTTGCTGTTATTAGAAAAGAAGTCATCACAGTTTGGAGCCATGCATTATATAATTTCTTGGGAACAACTTTCAGGGCAGAGCCTACCCTTGTGGAGAGCAAGAGGGCTTCATAAGGACCCAAGACTGGAGGAGACAAAATTCAGGAATAATCAGAACCTTTACAGTGGAGGCCAAGAAGGGGTACAGTATCAGTTTATGAGCTGAATACTGGAATTTAGACTATGCTGTTAAAGACTTTAAATATTCCTCTTCTCTTTACTGTGACTTGGTTGTGGTAGTATTAGGTTAGTAGATCTGAAATAGGGCACAATTCAAGGACTTGAGTGAAGTCACTATTGGATCTAGAGATTAAATCTATGATCATTTAAGAGTAGATTAATCGAGTTTTTTGCACAATATCAAAATGTTCTTGTCAACATTTTTGATCACCTTTGCTGTGCCGGAGGGTGTCAGTTTCAAAGATAGGTATCAGATGGTCTCTGTCTTTTAGGTTCCATTGCAGCCTTTAAAGAAGACAGATGTCAATCCTTTGGTAAGAATGAAGCCAGAAGGTACATGGAATGTAAAGAGCACAGAGGAAGGTGTTTAGTCTAAGAGTTTAAGGGAGACTTCTGGCTTCAATATGATAACCTAAACTGAGTCCTGAAGGATCAGAAAGAGTTAGCTTTGAGTAGTAACTACTGAAGGATACAACAGCATGAGAGAGGGCATGCATGGATGAAATGGACTATAAGTAGCAGAGTTTTCTTAGAACATAAAGTTTGAGGTTAAGAGTGACTAAAGAGTCTGGGAAGGTAAGCAAGAACCAGATCATGGGGGCGCATGGGTGGTTCAGTCAGTTAAATATCTGCCTGCGGCTCAAGTCATGACCCAAGTGTCCTAGGGTCTAGTTCCGCATCTGGCTCGCCCTCTGCCATTCCCCCTGCTTGTGCTGCTCTCTTTCTCTCTCTCTCCCCCTCTCTCCCCCTCTCTCATTCTCTCTCTGTGTCAAGTAAATAAATAAAATCTTTTTAAAAAAAAAAAACAAAAGAACCAGATAATAAACAGCCTTGTATGCTATGCTAAAAATTCTGCATTTTGTAGATAAAGGGGAGTTCTTTTGAATAATGACATGGTGAGATTTGCATTTGAAAAATCACTGCCTGAAGATTGATTTAGAGGGTAAGACCAAAGGCAAGGAGACAGTTCTGGTAATCCAGGTGAGAGGATTAAGGCTTTAGCTCAATGGAAGTAGCTTACCAGGAAAATCATTAACTTGTCTTGGTTTTTACGGAATTTCACCCTCTTCTTTAGAGGTTAAATTTCCTGGGAACTGAGATGATTATTTTGCAGAGGTGACTTATATTCAATGTCCAGTTGTTTATTCCTTTATGTCTGTAAGAAGTTTATACTTTCATAAATACCTACTTAACAAGTATAGGTCTGTATGGAGATGGTTAACAAGTGTTTTTGATGATTACACAAAGTAGGAGATGTTAATAACCCTTTTGGTATAGTAAGGTATATTAGATTAAATTTAGGTTATATAATTTTTAATTTATGAATTTATAATTTCTATGTGCTAATTTCTTTCTTTTTTTTTTTTTAAGGCTACTAGCAAAAGATGGTGGATCGCTTGGCAAACAGTGAAGCAAATACTAGACGTATAAATATAGTAGAAAATTGTTTTGGAGCAGCTGGTCAACCCTTAACTATACCTGGAAGGGTTCTTATTGGAGAAGGAGTATTGACTAAGTTGTGCAGAAAGAAGCCCAAAGCAAGGCAGTTTTTCTTATTTAATGATATTCTTGTGTATGGCAATATTGTCATCCAGAAGAAAAAATACAACAAACAGCATATCATTCCCCTGGAAAATGTGACTATTGATTCCATCAAAGACGAGGGAGACTTGAGAAATGGATGGCTTATCAAGACACCAACTAAATCATTTGCAGTTTATGCTGCCACTGCCACTGAGAAATCTGAATGGATGAATCACATAAATAAATGTGTTACTGATTTACTCTCCAAAAGTGGGAAGACACCCAGTAATGAACATGCTGCTGTCTGGGTTCCTGACTCTGAGGCAACTGTATGTATGCGTTGCCAGAAAGCAAAATTCACACCTGTTAATCGTCGTCACCATTGCCGCAAATGTGGTTTTGTTGTCTGTGGGCCCTGCTCTGAAAAGAGATTTCTTCTTCCAAGCCAGTCCTCTAAGCCTGTGCGGATTTGTGACTTCTGCTATGACCTGCTTTCTACAGGGGACCTGGCCACGTGCCAGCCTGCTAGATCGGACTCTTACAGTCAGTCATTGAAGTCTCCTTTAAATGATGTATCTGATGATGATGATGATGATGATAGCAGTGACTAAGGACATGTTTTGAAATATTTAATTGGGTGTGACTACCTGAGAAATCAGCTCTGGGGGGAATGTAAAATTCTGAGCTTTCTCTCAGTTTTGCTCTAGCCGTGAATTTGCCTGAGAAACTTTTAACCTATGTGCCTCAATATATCCTATAGAAAATAGGTCCTGTCATTGTGTCCTCACCCCCACCCCCGCCCAACTGCCCGCTCTTCTACAGGGATAGATTATTGGCAAGTATATCAGATAAATGTTGGTTTCTTATTCTTGTTTAATTTTAGATTATTTTGTTGGAAGGTTGGGAAAAGATGTTTATTTAACAGATCATGTACTACATTGTTGTTTACTATATGTTCTGTTATATGGAAAAACTAAAAGCAAAAAATGGGAAAAGGAATATAATGCGGTTAGCTAGTATTATTACCTTTTTCCTAACCATCCTATCTGATAGTTAAGACACCAGTAACAAAACATGATTTGAAAATATTTTGTTTGGCTGTTTCATATACCAAGTGGTGCCTTATCATAGTAGCACTGTTACGTGAAATTAGCCCCTACCTTCTCACTTTTAGTTTGTTTTGAAAATACACTGGTGCTCTATGAGGTGATAAAATGAGCATTTATGAATGGGTGTAATTTAAAAATACTTCTCATCTTCCAGCTACAAATAACTAAATTTAGAGCTTCTTCATTCTATAGGGATAAATATTTTTCCATAAAATAGTTGTGATTATATTTTTATGTTTTATAGGTACCAAATTATAATTGTTAAATATATATTTTAAATCTGTTAGATAGGTTTTCATTCTTAAGAATTTGGTTTGAAATTTATCAGATACAGAATTGTCACATTTCATTAGTTTCTATTTTAGTAAAATGTGTTTGTACGTATAAATTCATCTGCTTTAACATTACTTCTAGAATGAAAAATCTTATAAAACCTTTGAAATTAAAGAAACTTTTAAAAAAAAAATCCCATGATAGAGCACAGATCTACTTAGGCTGAAGACTTGGAAGAAATAATGTGTAAGAATGGTCAAGACCAGTTAAGTTTGACTAGACTTTATATTGGTGGAAGTATTGTCTATTTCAGTGTGAAACTATCTTGAATTTGCAAATATAGTGTTATATTTTATGAAGTTTTGTAAAGTCCCAAACAATATTTCTATTTTTGTAAAACAATTGTATGTTTAATCTGTTTCTGAAATCCTTTTGCAATCTGTAGAAATAGAGTAGCAATTGATCTTTCTAAATTGTGAACTTTATTGAGTCAGTGATTGCTTTTGAGAATTGGTAATTTTTCACTCTTTGCTTTTGAGGCAGCCATTTAGGTTGAAAGTGTATTTATCATATAAAACTTGATGCATTTTGCACTATTCTCTCCATTTGTATGCTGCAAATAACTACAGTCTTTCAAATATGAAAAAATCAGCCTAAAGTTTGTTATAAATTCCAAACTTTTTTGTTTTTAAACATTTAAATCTGGATATATTGCGAATGTCATGAGTTTTGATTCAGTAATGTGATGGAGAATTTTGGGGTTTGCTTACGGCACTAATTTTACTGTTAAATTGTGAAGGTAGATATATAGATTTCCCTGTAGGAAATGTGAAACAAAGACACAACAGTTTTTTTGTTTGTCTTAATATCAGATGGACATTTATTTCCAAGCAATATATACATATAATTAATCAACATATCTCAAAATGACCATGAAACCTGAGAAGTGCTAATGGAGACTTGCTGGTACATAGGAACCTAGCAAATTCAAGAACCAAGGGAAATGTTCTGGGATGACATTTGCATTGTCAACGTCTGTTGACTCTGTTTTTACAATAAAAAATATTTTACAACTTAACTCTGTGCATATTGTGACTTGAAGATTTTTCCCCACTTTTTAAGGTAATGGAGGTATTATGCATATTTTGCTTCTTTCAATAGCTGTGAGGTGCCTTTTATGTGCCAGGCATTGTTCTAAGCACTAAGGGGCAGAGCAGTAAACAAAATTTCCTTTCTCTTCATGGAATATATATGCAGATAGATTCCAAGATGTGTTTTCTTCCAGAATGTGTTCTGTAATTTTAAAAGCTTTTCTAAATCTTAGTTATATGTAAACCTGAAATGATTTTGGTGCCTGTTTTTTATGCCATTCCACTTGAGTGAAATGGACTATACTGGACCTGCAGTACGTTAACCAAATTGGTAAACTGTTGATGTAAAGGAAGCAAGATTCTGTAGATACCAAGAGAAAATACTAAATTGAATACACCTTAATGCAGGAATTCATACCTTTGGGTCAAGTGCATAAAATGTCCATAGTTAATATAAAGTCATTTGTTTATATATCTTTATCACCTTTATGCTGAAATTCTCATAAATAGGTGGCATTCAGTTGTATACATAATGATTCTTGAAAGGTCCCAGGACCTTAGCCACACTCTTTTCTCTCAGATATGCTAATTTTGTTCTCAAATATAGGTTGTAGCTTTAAAGAGTATAGTGGCGATTATTTACATATCCACGTGTATTAGATTGCTATACATTTTACAAAAATAAAATTTCATAGTCAAGTCTAGGATTAAAATACATGAAATATTTATTGATAGTAACTGTAAGGCTTTCCTTTAAAACTAAGTTATTTTAGATCATTCAACATTTATTAACTATAATGTCAGGCTCCATAGATTTGGTGTTGAGTGTTCTAAACTTTTTAAAGGTACGTATCTGTAAAGGTTATTATCAATGGCATTCACTTAAATCAAAATTTCTTAAAAATTGCTTTGTACTCGGGGCTCCTGGGTAGCTCAGTTGGTTAAGCATCCAACTCTTGGTTTCAGCCCACATCGAGCAGGGAGTCTGCTTGAAGATTCCCTCTCTCTGCCCCCGTCTCGCTTATTTGCTCTAAAATAAATAAATCTTTAAAAAGAATTACCTTGTACTTGGCATCTACACTAATTGAAATATTTTTCTTACAACAGTATACTCATGCGAAATTTTGCCCCTAGAAAGAATTTTAAGCCATAAAACCAAGAGTATTTCTCTCTGCCTCCACTGGCAATGTAGTGTGGGCAAACACAAACTGCCACTGGTACCATTGCTTGGCCTGCAAACCCTATCGTTATATCAAGAATTGAAAAGTAGAGGAAGTTGGTTGATAATATTGTTAACACTATCTTGTCTTCACCACCCAAACTGTTATTGTTACATTATTCATACTAGTTAAAATGATTGCAGTTACGCTTTGATGGTATTTTCAAATAGTTTATCAAGAAAAAAGTAGCAGTAAGTACCACTTTACTCTGAGTTTGCATACTGCTGTCATCTTAATATTTAGAAGAAATACATGCTTTACTATTCTTTATTTTTAGCAGCTTTGAGCCATAATTCACATACCACACAACTCAATTCAAGGTATAAAATTCAATGGTTTTTGGTATATTGGCTAAAAGCATGCCACTATTTCCAGAACATTTTCATCACTGCAAAAAGAAATGCACTGTTAGCAGTCTTTCCTCTTTGATTCCCCAATCCCCTAGCCCTAAGCAGCCATTAATCCACTTTCTATCTCTATGGATGTGCCTTATCTGGACATTTCACAAATGAAATCGTGTATTATGTGGTCTTCGGTGACTGGTTTCTTTCACTTAGTATGTTTTTAAGAATCATTCGTGTTGTATCAAGAGTACTTAATTCCTTTTTATTGCCAAATATTCTGTGATATGGATGTCGCATATTTATATTCATCAGTAGGCATTTGGGATGTTAACACTTTCGGGCTATTAGGAATAATGTTGCTGTGAACATTTGTGTTCAAGCTTTTGTGTAGACGTGTTTTCCTTCCTCTTGGGTATATACCTCGAAGTGGAACTGCTGGGTTATGTTGTTCCTCTATGTTTAACCTTTGGAGGTTTTTCCAAAGTCTGCACCATTTTACTTTCCCATCAGCAATATAGGAGGGTTCCAATTTCTCCCCATCTTCCCCAACACCTACTATCTCTGATTATAGCCTGTGAAGTATCTCTGTTTTTCATTTGCATTTTCCTAATGGCTAATGATGTTAAGGATCTTTGCGTGTGATTATTGGCCATTTGCATATCTTCTTAGGAGAAGTGTCTATTACGATCCTTTGCTCTAGGTGGTTTTTATGATTGAGTTGTAGGAGTGTTATTTATATAATCTGAATAGAAGACCCTAACCAGTGCAGGATTTGCAAATGTTTTCTCCCATTCTGTGACTTGTCTTTTCACTTTCTTGATGGTATTGTTTGAAGCACAAAAGTTTAATTTTAGTGAAGTCCAATTTATCAATTTTTTCTTTTGTCGATTATGCTTTTGGTGTCATTGCCTAACTCAAGATCATGAAGATTGACTCCTGTGTTTTCTTCCAACTCTTGAGTCTGATGAGGACTCTTGGTTATTGATACACAGAACATAGTCTTAAAATTACCTCCAGAATTAGACTTGGAAACTATTTCTCTGACAGCGAAAGACTGGGTCGTATTTATTTAGTATATTTAAATTATTTGATCAGTCTCCCTATTTGTAACCTGTCTCTCATCACCACTGCTACCTCTCTCTCACATGGATACTTCTAACCCTACTCGGCTCTGATGCTTCATACCAGGCTGTTCCCATCATAGATGCCCTCCTTATCCACTTAGGTTCCAACACCCCATGCTGGGCCTCCCCCACTCCCACCCCCTATGAACATCTTCACCCTCTGTTCTCTAAAACCTCATTCTGGGCTGCCCTCACCTATGGATATTCTCCACACTTGGGTTCCAGTCCTCATCAGTGGACCCCCTTTCTGTGGTGACCCTCACCTCACCCTGCCCAGCTCTGAGCCACCTACACACAGAGACACTTTACTCTGGTCTCTGACTCCCCTCCTTCACATGCCTGAGCCCCCTCTTCATCCTGCTTGAACTTTGACGCCAGGCCTCCAGCCTTCCCCCTGTGTGACTGCCTTTTTCGCCATGCTTGGGCTATAGAACTATGCACCCAGCTGCCCCCATGGAAGGATACCCTCTCTCCTCACTGTGCTCAAGTTCCAGCCACCATGCCAAGCCGCTCCCCACTCATAGACACCTTGCCCTCTTTGGGCTCTGACTCCTTGCACCAGCCTATCGACCCTCCCCCACCCTTCACACCCCGTCTGCACAGTCTCCTCTAGTCTCTGTGACACTTCACACCAGCTGCCCCTCTGCACAGACCCCTGCCTTGCTCTGGCCCACCTAATGGCATTAGGACAAAATCGTGCAGAGGAAGGGAAGCACTGCACATTCCATACCTCCTAGGAAAATAAAGGCAGAGGTGGAGGAGAGAAAAAAGAGAAAGCAAGCAAGCAAAACAAACTCAATGGTAGTATATACAAATCAGACAGATAAAACCAGAGGCATGAGCTACTCTGGCTGAAGGGAGGGTTGGAGAACCAGCAACCAGACCCACCCTTCACTTGTCCCAACTCCACGCCTGCCAAGACCCCAGGAGTTTGAAACCCACTGCTTTACACCGAGTCAGTGGACATCTGTCACAGCACCCGAGAACTGGCTTTCCCAAGATAAGCCAGATGGTTTCCAGTTGTTCTTATTTCATGATGATTAAAAAGTAAAGGCGTAAAGTTATTTTCAGAGCTTCACTTTAACTTCTAAGCAAATCACAAATCAACTTGTTTTAACAGTCGTATAACCCTGACAGTAAGCTTGAGGGAGAAGACTTAGGACCTCACTTTGGATGAGGAATTCATGAATGAAATTTATTAAATTTTGAGAGGGTTTTAGTGAAAAGCCTTGAAGTGAGTTTGAAGCACACAGTTCTCCAGAAATTACTTGAAAACGTATTTCTGCAATAGGAAAAATAAGTGGCCACTATTCTATACAATTCTATATCTGTGTTTGAGTCAGTATGACACATCATGGTATATTTCAGGAAAATAAAATGTGTAAACAGAAACACTGGTATTCACATGTACAAAGGGAATGTTGCTAATTAAATGAAAATAATTATACAGCGCCATGTGTCAGGAAATAGAAAAAGCAGAGCAAACGACTAGAGCAAGGACAATAAGGTTAAAAGAGATTATATTTTTGAATACCCAGCTTTTTTTGAAACCAGTTTACTTTTAACTTGGTATAATAAGGCATTTTGGGAGCGTAATGACTCCCAATTTTATAAGCTTCTGCCTTTTAAAAGCATTTCTCAGGGCGATTTTATCTAAGTCTGTCAGTATAGAAGCTAAAACCTGTGTTAATGAAAGTCAGGTTTTTCCCTGTTGCTTTCCTTGCCTGAATAAAAGAGTGAAAAGCATGTCTGATGTATAAACATAAATGATATAAAATTGTTAATGATTTCCTAAAATTTATATTCCATAATAGGGAGGTATCAATGGTAACATCAAGTTTACAGCAATAATTTTGACATTTTACATCTGGTGGTTTAGAAATAGCTTTTGTGACTCAGAATATTTCATAGTAGCTTTCAGGGTATTTAAAACAGAATCAATGACAAAATATTAAAAGCGCCTTTCACTTGGCCAGTTGCTAAGATGCCAGATTATCTTAATTCCAACCAAAGCAAGTTGTGGAGTCTGACTAGAAGGTGTAAAAATATACAGTTGGCCCTTTAACAATGCAGAGGATGGGGTGCAGACCCCCATATGTTGGAACATCCACTATAACTTTTGACTCCCCACAAACGTCGCTGATAGACCAGGAGACATAAAGTCAATCAACAAACATTTTGTATAAGTATTAGATACTGTATTCTTACAACAAAGTAAGCTGGAGAAAAGGAAATTATTAAGAAAAGCATAAGGAAGAGAACATCTATCTACAGTACTGTACTGTATTTATGGATATGC